CTGAACAATAGTTTTGGATTGAATTATTTTTAGAGTTTACACCGAAAAAAAAGTGAAAAAAAAAGTGACAGACTTTTTGCGACAGGTGGGATTCAGCTTACGGCTCTTCTCACTCTTTCCTATGGTATCCGTAAACGGCGATTGACTGTCGCACAACTGAAAACTGAAAAACTGAAATTCATTGACATCAAGGCTGTATTGTGATTGGTTATCAAGGCACACATGATCCAAGATGACCGTTACGCTTTCTCCAATGGTAAGTAATACCAAAGTCCCTTTAAGACAAGTCATTTTACTCTGCGGCCATCTTTGAAATGCCTCTCGGGTATGCAAGTGCAGCTCCTATCTCTTTGAATGGGGAAACATCAGATTCTCCAAAACTGTTCGGCAAGCTTACAATTAAATTTCATATTTAAATCACCAATGAAATAATAATTAATTTATAATAATTAATAAATAAATATAATAATTTTTTAGGCTAGACCAGCCAATGCGCATGCGCAGTCCTAAGATCTAAGTCCTAGAATGCTGACTATAGCTGCGTCCCAATTCGTAGTCTGCATCCCAATTCAAAGACCTTCGAAGGATGCGGCCAACGCGGTCTTCGAAGGACACTTAGAGTCTAGCCTTTGCTGGATTTCCTGATTGCACCAGCAGGTGTTCCCGATCGCAGCTCCTGTCGCCTAGCAACGGTGCAAGAAGAGAGCTGCCATAGATGTTATTTGTTAATGAAAATGAAAATAACTGGAGCCTGAATTGTTAGTTTTTGACTTTTAATTACCGAATTACTCTTGAAATGTAAGTATTGGATTTCGACTTACTTGAATATTGTAATGACATGAAAAAATACAGCCCCACAGGGAAGATGAAGACTACAATGAAGATGATCGTGGGAGATAGCAGGTAGGTGAAAGAGTCTGGTGAGTCAGGTTAGGCCTTCGAAGGACGCACCGAGTCTAGCCTTCACAGAATTTCCTGATTGCGCCAGCAGGTGTTCCCGATTGCCGCTTTGTCGCATAGCAACGGTGCAAGAAGAGAGCTGCCATATATGTTATTTGTTAATGAAAACGAAAATAACTGGAGCCTGAATTGTTAGTTCTTGACTTTTAATGGCCGAATTACACTTTAAATGTAAGACTTACTTTAATATTGTAATGACGTGAAAAAATACAAAATATAAAGCGATTAAATGTCGACTTATATCTTACCAAAATGTGATTTTATGTTGTTTATTCTATTATTGATTATTATGTACATAAATGGACCATGCTGAACATATTTAAACAGGTTTTCAACCCTGTTTAGTTTTATGCAGCTGAATATAAAAAGTTAACTTACAAACGTTACTGCCGCTCGTCTACAGCTGGCAAAGTTGCTAGGCAACAAGAAGAGTCCTCCGTAGGCTAGACCAGAGTGTAACGAAATACATTTCATAAGTATTCACATAGAAATGAGAAGTACTGAGTTTTTTTTTTCTCACAGGACTTCTCAGGATTTCCTGATTGCGCCAGCAGGTGTTCCCGATTGCCGCTCCTGTCGCATAGCAACTGTACGAGAAGAGAGCTGCCATAGATGTTATTTGTTAATTAAAAAAATTTAAATAACTGGAGCCTGAATTGTTAGTTTTTGACTTACACTTTAAATGTAAGTATTGGGTTTCGACTTACTTGAATATTGTAATGACATGAAAAAATACAAAGCGATTAAATGTCGACTTATCTTACCAAAATGTGATTGTATATTCTATTATTGATTATTATGTACATAAATGGACCATGGTGAACATATTTAAACAGGTTTTCAACCCTGTTTAGTTTTATGCAGCTGAATATAAAAAGTTAACTTACAAACGTTACTGCCGCTCCGTCTACTGCAGCTGACAAAGTTGCTAGGCAACAAGAAGAGTCCTCCATAGGCTAGACCGGTCTGAGTGCTTTGGAAGCAGCAGCCTTGATATGGTTCGCAGTTGTAGCAACTTAGCAATAAACTTTATTCGTTTCATCTCCAAAATAACAAAGTGGTGGAGTGTAACGAAATACATTCCATAAGTATTCACATACAAATTATATTTTTTCTCATAGGACAGCTACAATACAAAAACATGGTCCTTTACAATATCATGCACTGTTGTACATTAAACTTCCCAACAGTAGACCTATATAAATTATTTTAAATGTAACAACCTTGAACATATTCAGAAGTAAAATGCAACATACAGTACACTGTAGTGCAGCAGTAATATTAATGCAAGGCCATCATATATAGTTTTTTCTGTAGAATACATAGGCTATTTTTACTTTTACTCTTCATACCTTAAGTACATTACAGTATGAAGGATAATACTTTTACTTAAGGTTTTAAATGCATGCATTTTTCCCTCAATGTGCTAATAGTAGTTACTGAAAGTACTTTACTAAAGTAACTCATATTTCTTCCATCAATTACTTTTTCATAGCTCTACACAATTAGTCCTTTCCTCATTTTCTTAAATTAGACCAGACCCCTGTACTGCAGGATAAACCTGAACTTCCCAGTGCTGGACAGTGGAAATATGCACTCAAACACTCTGGAGACTATCCAGATGATGCCTCACTGGCAGAGGCCGCTCCAGGCGTTCTATGGCAGCCCATCCAGGTCCAGCAGCGCCACCAGGATCTCACTGCTCAGCTGAATGATAGCGTACATAAAAATGCATTTCTTTCTTTTTCCAATCTGTTTCATGTATTGTTAATTAAATTTTGATTGTTTTTCTGTTGAATTTAAGTTATTTTGTAATTAGTTGTAAAGAGTATTTTTAGTATTGAAAATAGAATTTCTGTCATTTACAAACTTGCTTTGCAAAAATTAACAATTTCCAGAACTACTACTTGTCTTTTATTTATAAGTTTCAACTAAAACAATACACAGAAATTACTTTGCTTCATTTACAAATAACTTAAATTACAAAAGTAATAAACAACTTCATTCAATTAATTTTTAAGTTTCCCAGAAGCACCATTTTCTCCAGAACTGTCCTAAAAGAAGAGAAAAGGGAAAGAAAATGATTAAGACAGGGCTACTTGTGGAATTACACTGTAACGATGAATTCACCGGTATATGGACATTTGTTTTAGGTTATATGTTAAATGTATTTGTTTTGTAAGCGTTTCATGTCTGTGTAAATATTTTGTTTTGGGATGATAGGACACATGGGATCTGATCTCTGTCTATGACCTGATTACAAACATTTTCTCACTTTTGAATGAATGTTTAATGCATCTTCGCATAGTTTCCCCCTTATAGTCAGAGGCGGACAGTAACTAAGTACATTTACTTAAGTATTGTACTTAAGTACACTTTTTGAGTATCGGTACTTTGAGTATTATTTTTTCTGGGAACTTATGGCTTTAACTTCACTACATTTGAAAGACAAATATTGTACTTTTCACTCCACTACATTTCTATCAAGGTCCTCGAAGTAGAAAGTCGTTACTATAGATGTGTGCACACACTGTCAGAGCTGTGTGAGATCACTACCATCCTGCTTTTGTGGGGGTGGGTAGGGGTGTTAACTATTTATTTATTTATTTATATATATTTATTTATGTTTTGTTTTTGTTTTAACATTCTAAAAGCTCTTTATTTCAAAGATACTACAAGCTAGCAGTAGTACAGGTGTTCCACAAGGCTGCGTCAGTTCACCTATTCTTTTTACACTTTTTACAAATGAATGCTTAAGTAGGCATTCACAAAATTTTATTTTTAAATATTCAGATGACACAGCCATACTAAGTCTACTCCATGTGCATGACAATATTAGCACTATTTACCAGTCAGAGATAAGTCAGTTTGTTGACTGGTGTGATAAAAATGAGCTAATAATAAATACAAAGAAAACGGAAGAGATTGTATTTGATCCAAAATGTATAGGTGACCATCGCCAAGTGGTTATACATGATCATAATATTATTCAGTCACAGACCTATAAGTATTTGGGCGTTTACATAGTTCACTTGCATGGAAAACACACATTGAATGGGTTTGCACTCGACTACAAAAGAGATTGTATTTCTTGCGTAGGTTATGTCTCTATGGAGTAAACAAGAATCTTATGCTGCTGTTTTATAAAGCTGTTTTAGAAAGTATTGTTAGGTATGGTATCACAGTGTGGTTCGGTAACCTAGCAGTACAGTTTAAATCTAAGTTGATGCACCTGTTATTGACAGCATGGAGAATTGTTGGGCATGGTGAACATTTTAACCTTCAAGTTTTATATGAGGAATGTGTTCTTAATCAGGTAGAGAGGATTCTTGGTGATCAAACTCATTTCTTGTATTTACAATATGAACTACTTCCCTCTGGTAGAAGATATAGAATCCCAATGTGTAAGTTAAATCGATATAAGAATTCCTTTGTACCTGTATCGGTGCGGTTGTATAACAAGAGTTCATCTTGATTTTATTTTCATGATTTTATTTAATTTTGTTTTTTATATGTTTATTGTATATCTGCAGCAACATGTAGTCCATAAGAATTTTCCTCTTGAGGACAATAACGTATACTACTACTACTTTTACTTAAGTAAAAATCTGTCTTTACAACTTTTACTTGTAATGGAGTCATATTTGACCAGCGGTATCTGTACTTTCACTCAAGTAATGGAGTTGAGTACGTTGGCCGCCCCTGCTTATAGTCTACAACAAAATAAGTGACCGCTTCTCTAATTGTAGCCTACATATTTTTAAAGGAAATATCTGGAACAGTTTATACAAATTACGAACTGAGAGTCGCCGTCTTTAAGTGTGGAAGAGGAACTCTGGGCAATAGCGTTTTCCTCTGGGTTGATGCGTTGGCTCACTTTTTTTTGAGCTGCAGCCCGGATGTCCAGCGCGTCCGGACCTGCATACGCGCGATAATTAACGGTGTCTCCTGTGACGGGTGGAGAGAGGGCGGTCTGTGCTCAACGTCATATGAAGAGCGTGACTATAAATATAATAGCGTCACTGACAGCCTTACAAAGTGGTTGCATTATTCGTGCATATGGCTCAAACTGAGATGTTGGAGTTTGGTGTGGAGCAGGGACAGATGCTGCAGGTCTTGATGCAGCACTGTCATAGCATGAAGCGTCAGGAGACACGACTGCGCGTGGCCACTGCGGTGCTGCTTGCAACGTTCTTCGCGACTCTGGTGTGGCTACAATTTCACCATCAAAATACTACGGTAATATACAAGTCAAAATTCTTTGATTTTGACTTTAAACTTACAAAATTATGAATTACTTGTTAACAGTCACACTATCAAACGCTATCATTCAGATTAATTAAATATAATAATTAAATGTCGCATAATTAATCAAATATTTAAAAGGTGAGGAATTAAAAACTGTCTCTGTTTTTCCCTGCATCTCAGGAGGCATTCTCAGTTGCCCATCAAGAGGCTTCGAACACTGAAGAATCACCACTAGGACACTCTGTTCATCTTGAACGTAAGTTCAGTTAGTGGTAAATTAGTCAAAAATAACTTAATATATTCATTTTTAATTGTCATTATACCATCAAAATAGTAATAATGCTACACAATATATACATAAGACCCCCTGCATTTATTAAACTAGGCTATGTGTCTTCAGAAATACTGTAGGGACATTTTTGTGACCTATAGGGTCAAATCACAGTGTAGATTTGTCTTTTGACTTATTGTCTCTCTCTTAAAACAGCTGCAAGACAGATTGATGCTTGTTCAGAACAACAGTGCATCGAGTGGGTGGATGTGGATGATGGCTATGACTCGCAAAATTTCAAGCTGGAAAACCAAACAGTCCTGCACATCTTCACAAAGGGCCTCTACTTGATCAATCTGAGGATGTCTTACCGTATAGCCTATGGTCAGTGTAAGCCTAGTACAGATCATTTGACTTTAGTGGTCATTGTCACACAGCATCATAGCAACTATGGAAGAGAGAGAGAGATTATAAGTGCTAAAGAGTCTATGATTTGTAGAGATTATTGGCTGCAGTCAATCACTTTGAATCGAGCGATCATGTTAGAAGCTGGCACTAGTCTCAGGGTGAGAATTAACCAGGAAAGTTGCAAGTTTGTCAACTGGGTTAAAAACAGTCATTTGGATGTCTCATTTTTTAACATGAGTTTTACTACCTGATGGCATTACTGCGCATTTGAGATTTGTTAGAAACGGCATTAAGCAGGTGTGTTTAATTGTTTAATGACCTATTATTTAGGTGCTTAATTATACGAGAATGTTTAACCACTTTAATTGGTTAATATTTTCAGGTTTATTGAGAGGTTTACTCTCATTCATTATGCTGAAATTGTTATTAAAGGGGTCATATGATGCGATTTCAATGTTTCCTTTCTCTTTGGAGTGTTACAAGCTCTTGGTGCATAAAGAAGATCTGTAAAGTTGCAAAGATACAGCCCGCCGCCTCTGCTCACTCAGCCCGCCGCCTCTTCTCAAAAAGGCAGTGGTTGACGCTGCGTTTTGTTGTGAAAGCGAAACTACTTTATGCCGGCTGTTCTGACTCAAAGACTGTAAGTACGTTTTTTATATTTAAAGAGTTTTTATATTTTATATATTTAAAGTGAGTTTTTTGGGCAGTGTAGAGTAGGGCTTGTTGTTTGTCATTTCTCCGATCACAAATGCAGACATGGTTTTATGTTTACGCGGCGCGATGCAACGCAACGTGTAAAAAGACAGTATAAGTCATTATAATCCATAATTATGTCCCCACTGGATGCAACAAATGCCTCGTTTATAATGAGTTTTCATGTTTTTGAATCATCGCTCCGGCCTGACAGGGCATCATCACAATGTGGTGAGGGGCGTAACATTTCCGTCACATGCTTGAGGAATTCGGCCAATCACAACGCACTGGATAGCTGGCCAATCACAGCACACCTTGCTTTTCAGACCGATGAGCTTTGTAAAAATCGACGCGTTTCAGAAAGGCGGGGCATAGAGGAGAAACAGTAATGTACAGTATGTGGAAAATAATGTTTTTTTAACCTTAAACCGCATAAACACATTTCATTACACCAAATACACAAAATAATGTTCTTTTTAGCAACATCATATGACCCCAAAAGAAGCAGATTTTGAATATAGTTAATAATCAAGTGTTGTTGTGACAGCCAACAGCAAAATGTTGGTAGCATGTGAAATCATGTGTGTGTTTTATGTTAAAACTTTTTAAATATGCATTGACGACCTGATTCATTAAGAGTTGCTCGTCATTTGATTTAAAAAAATCAGTTGGAACTAAGTTGGAACCCTTCCTGTTTATTACATTTAGCTCTAGGTGGCAATCGTATACATCTGCATTTCAGAATTTAACATGTTTTTGTGGTTCACTCATAAATCTGCAGACTTGTATTGAAATTCTAACACAATATGTTTTTACAACTATTTGTGTCAAAGCTTCGATTTATAGAGTCACTGTCATACACAATGATTTAAAGGTATACCTATAAACATCAATACAAAAACAATACAGGATACAAGAAACACCTTGTATATACTGTAGTTCAGGTCACTGTAGTTTGCTCCTGATTCCCAGAGTGTCTCCTTGATTACTGGATCAGGAAACATGCTGCATTTTCTCTGTACTGCATGAATAAAGAACTTGTGGTAAGAGAATCAATCTTTGTGTCTGCGTTTATTCATTGAAGATGTTCTGACAGACTGTTTAGCATTGAACAGAGGCAGTAAGTAGTCTATTTGACAGGCCAAAACCTGTTTGGAATAGTGATTTTGCTGAATAGATCATCTCGTGGAGACCAAGATACAGGATAAAACCAGACTGCTTCCAATGACAATGAAATCCTGAAAAGTGAAAAGATTAAATTGATTATCTGTGCCAGAAAAATGTACTAACCACATACTGTGGGGAAAAGGTAAACATGAATGACTTCTGCACATGAAAAGATGCTGCTAAATGAAAGTCAACAGTTCATCTGGCACACAGCTCAGGGAAAGAATCTATTCTTAACGGGGTCCTATTATGCTTTTTCACTTTTTCAACTGTAGTTAGTCTGTAATGTTGCTGTTTGAGCATAAAAAATATCTGCAAAGTTGCAAAGCTCAAAGTCCAATTCAAAAGGAGATATTTTATTTAACAGAAATCACTTTTCAAAAACTACAACGAACGACTCGTTTGGACTACAACGCATATTTTCCGGGATTTGTGATATCACAAATATCGACGAATGGGACGAGACCTGGTTGAGCTGCACTTGAGAAGGCAACGAGTGTTATCACTGTGTCGGAGACACGCTAGCTTTCCCAAGGCAGACGAACTTAGAGTGGTTACAATCATCCGGGTTTAAATCACGCTGCCACGCACACACACATATATATATATATATATATATATATATATATATATCTCCATTAAACAATTACAAGTCTAATTTTTTAAAGCAGGTTCAAGGAAAGTGCGTTCAACCACTTTAAACAATTGTATTAGAGACCCACCTGGTGTTCATAATGGGTGTAGCAAGATTTGAATGGCTAATTTGCCATTTTAAAGAGGTCCTATTATGCTTTTTCACTTTTTTACCTATAGTTAGTCTGTAATATTGCTGTATGAGCATAAAAAAAGATCTGCAAAGTTACAAAGCTCAAAGGCCACTTCAAAAGGAGATGTTTTATTTAACAGAAATCACTTTTCAAAAACTACAACGAACGACTCGTTTGGACTACAACGCATATTTTCCGGGATTTGTGATATCACAAATATCGACGAATGGGACGAGACCTGGTTGAGCTGCACTTGAGAAGGCAACGAGTGTTATCACTGTGTCGGAGACACGCTAGCTTTCCCAAAGCAGATGAACTTAGAGTGGTTACAATCATCCGGGTTTAAATCACGCTCAAATTGATTTGATTTTGAATATTTGAAAAATAATGTGTTTTTCGAACAACCTAGTATGAGAGCCTGTTCTAGTACACCCCCAAAACAAAATCAAGACTTTGTAAAAGAGCATAATAGGACCCCTTTAAACATTGTGGTATCTGTGTTTGACACACCTTTCAACCTTCCGGTTGGTTTTTACCACTCAACAGACTTGGGTTTGTGGAATAAATTCCTAACCCACCTGCAAATATATGGTGATACTGGAATTGTATACTGCATGCAGATTGATAAGGGTCAGCATAATGTCCAAGACGACTATAGTATTGGATTCCAAAACAAAGAAATTAATCATTTATTGCACGTTCCAATAAAATGGTAAAATCATTACATGAAAGCATTTGAGATTTAGTGGCAAGAATAAGTTTGTGAACCCTTTGAAAATATCTAGATTTCTGTGCTGATAACTCATGAAACGTGGTGTGGTTTTCACCTAAGTCAGTAATAGAGGATGTATGTATTTGAAGGTTGTGTTCTGTGTTTATTCTCATGTGAGTATTAAGTGGGCTTAGTGATGCCCCAGTTGTGGACTGTGATCGTTGACTCAAGAGAAGTAGTATGTTTACCATTCATTTTCCAATATGAGTAAAACGGGAAAAGATTGAAAGGTTATTACTAGAGTTGGGGTACTTGGACTCAGACTGCAAGTATGAACTCGGAAGCACTTTGGTGGACTTATCCTCAAACTTGACATGACATTTTGGACTCAGAAATTTCTCAGAGTACAGTTGAATCCACGTCATGTAGAACATGAAAGTAACAACATAAAATTAAAAGTACAAGACATTAATAAACGTCTACCATTCAAACTCAGTGATTAAGAACGATACGATGACTGATATGAAGGGACTCAAAGGGACACATTTTCTTGTCCTGGTTTTCCCATTTGCCTCCTATCACCATTAAAATAAACATAGAGATTAAGATGAAATATTGCCAAACATTCCTGTCAAAAAAAAAAAAAAAACCTGGCTCTCTCCATATTTATTGTGGTCTTTATCATCTGACCTCTGGCTGTTTCCCAGGATTCCTGGAGGACTTATCCCTTTTGATTTTGTTTAATGTCATAATCTGTTTTGTATGGTCCAAGGTAGCTCTTCTTTGCCTTTTTTTTTTCTGAAAATATCTGGTTTTAAGGTGTTTTGAGAGTATGTATTCACATTTACAAAAAAGCAGCTTCACGCTGGGAGAGTTGGGATTAAATACAGGCATAATTAATGTACAATGGAGGCAGGGCTTTTCCTGCAATCCATGGGCTTTTTGGCACCTTCTCATGAAATGAAATCCATAAAAACAATTAATTAGTAAGGCAAATCAGTACTATAAAATCACGGCATGAATGCATTTGAGATACAGTGGCAAGAATACGTTTGTGAACCCTTTGAAAATATCTATATTTCTGTGCTGATTACTCATGAAATGTGGCATGATTTTCACCTAAGCCACAATTATAGACAAACACAATCGGGCTCATTCATAACACAAAAAGTTCTACTTTAAAGTAGAATAAAGTGAACCTTTGTGTTACAGCTTCTCCAAAAGCTAACTGGGTTAAGGAGATTAAGAAAAGTGGGAGTTCATGAATCGGTGATAAGACATCCGGTCTACAAATTCTGGACTGTTGCTACAGTATAATGGATATCCTGAAAAATAACACTTCTGGGAAAATGGTTTATGGACAATGGAATCAAAGTTTTAGAAGTTGGCAAAAAGTGTTTTGGTAAAAGGTCACCACATCAACACCAATACCTAATCCCAACTGTGAAGCATGGTGGAAGGAGCATCATGGTTCAGTGCTGCATTTCTGCCTCAGGGCCTGGACATTTTTTAATCACTGAATGAACAATGAATTCAAAAGTGCATCAAGGCATTTGACAGGAGAGTAGCAGGACAGTAATTCATGACTTCAAGCTTGAGAGTGCAACAAGACAATGGTCCAAAGCACATAAGTAAATCAAGAACGGCTAAAACTGAAGCATATATGTTTTCATGAGTCTAATTCAGATGCTGTGCAAGGCATAACCTTAAAGAGAGTTAATGCTATCAAGATATCCCAGAAATACTGATAAACTCTAAACGGATTTGTGGAGACGCATAGTTCTGACCAGTTTGATCAGACTCAGAAGTGACTAAATTCAATGCTAGTGCCAACCTGCTTCAGTAATGAACTTTATTAACTCAAGATGCATAAGGCTAAATATTGTGGAGCACAAATTAAACCATTACAGTGATTATTTTCAAATGGTCAACAGGGTAACTAATGGATAATGCTTATCTTAGCATTACATCCGCCAGACAAATTAATGGGGAAATGAAAACTAATGTAAAGCAACTTTATACACTATCTGTACAAATATTTTAATTAATCACAAGATGGGCTTCCAGTAGATTAGATGGCAAGTGGAAAAATGGTGCTTGATCAGTTTATTTTTGAACAGTTTATTAGTGTTTATTTTTGGAACCTTTGCATAAAGTTGTTTGACATCCCTTATTATATCTGGCTTGTGTTAAAGCCATCACCTAATCTTATCTTTATTTCAGTCAGATTCTCACTTACACCTTCAACTTTAATACTGCATACAGCGAAGAAAAAAAATAAGATAAAAACTTTTCAAATGTGTGACATTCATCATGTGACTATTTGTACAGACGATCAGATGTTCTTCCTTTCGAGCTCAAGATGCTCTTTGGATCTTTTTTAATCATGCTGGAGAACATGATCTTCAGGTCTGACACAAACTGGTGGAGTTCATGCAGCTCAAGTGCAGCTTTTATTAAAGCAAACCAAATAATAAAAACCTATTCAATTTATCACTTTATCAATAATTTATATCATCATGCTAATAGTTCAAGTTCTAATTTGGAATTCAATTGTAAAGTTTTGTATTACATGAGAAAACCGCAAAACAGAATCAGTTTCACAATTGGTCTCTGATAAATGTTCTGCATTGACATGCATTCAATATAATCACATGAAGACAAAGTTCAGTGATAATAGTGCACCAGAATCTGTCAAGTGTCTTGCTCAAATGAACGAAAATAGATGAGTGGGAAATCTGTGACGCAATTTACCAGTCTGTGACTGACATTTTGAGAAGGATTGCAAAAAGGCAAAAAAAATGTGAATCACAATGCTGCCAGCTGAAATACGCAATCCCAAGGAAACAGCATTTACGTCAACATGGCTGCAGGAACAGACATACAAATTGTATACTGTGTATAACTGTATAACAACAACTACCTTACAACTCGTTTACTGATATTAAGCAACAGCTGATGCAGCTGCATGACATGAAGCAATCACTGAAAAGAATGACAACTAACACACTCCACCTCTAAGACATCAACAGCATTCAATACTCAGCACTGCAACAAATATCAACTAGAGTATAAATGTAACCGATATTTTCAGCACAACAACCTGTTATTTAACAAACCTCCCAACTGCAGAAAGAAATCATCTTACTGTGAATTCATTGTTTTCAACAACCAAACTTTTAAAAGCTCTGCACCACTGGACACACTTTTATTGTTTTGTTTTTAAATATATATATATTTTTTTTTTTCTTTTCAAAAATTACATTTGAAGCAGAGGTACAACTAAAATTATGCACACAAAGTTTCAGTTCTCATCAAAAGCTTTTTTATACACTGCACGCAATGCTGTATGCTAAAATCATGTTAGGAATTGTGTAGAGAAGATTCCAAAATTCTTTCTGATTGACAGTGGGAAAAAAATAAATAAATAAACATGACCCATCTTGCACAATTACTGCAATGTTTTCCCCACACCAACTTGGCAGTGCAGTAGTGGTGTAAAGTTACATGCATGACCATCATAGTGCAGTTGTAAATCAAAACAAACTCTACCAGAGTCAGAATTAACCCCTTAAGCACTGGGGTTATTTAGGGGGTTTCCGCCTGGATTTGACATACCCACATTTAAATGTTTACCCTACACACATGCAATAGAGCAAATGAAAAAATGGTGTTATAGAAAACCTTAAAATACAAACTCAGATTGTAATTCTTCATAAATAACATTATAAATGTTTCAAATATTACAATAAACACTAAAAAATAGGCGCTTGTTGATTTTTTCCCCCAGAATTTGTTTTTGAAAGTCTGTTATTCAGGTTCTATTTGCTTTATCTGCAACTTATATTGTTTGATTCCACTAAGTGCCAAAATGTACCAGAAAAAAATTTTGTTTTTCCCATAACAGCTTCTAAACAGGAGTTAGGCTTTCTCTGCCTTTTGGCTAAGATCATGAGACTGAGACAAGGATCGTGGCCTAATGGTTAGAAAGTCGGACTTGTAATCAGAAGGTTGTGGGTTTGAGTCTCAGGTCTGGCAGGAATTGTAGGTGGGGGGAGTGAATGACCAGTGCTCTCTTCCACCCTCAATACCATGACTGAGGTGAGACCCTTGAGCAAGGCACCGAACCCCCTACTGCACCCCGGGCGCTGCAGCAAAAATGGCTGCCCACTGCTCCGTGTGTGTTCATTACTGTGTGTGTGCACTTGGATGGGTTAAAAGCAGAGCACAAATTCCGAGTATGGGTCACCATACTTGGCCACATGTCACTTCACTTCACTTTTTTAATTATAACTGAAGGGAGTAAAATTGTCATTTTGTGTGTGTGTGTCTACACAAGTGTCCTTTTGAGTTTCCTTTGCAAAAACAGGTTTTAATACATTACCCCCAGAATCCTATTTTACTATGTACCATTGCACTTTTCTTGATTATTGATTGAATTCTTTTTCATTTTTCTAAGTAGTAATATACAAAACGTCATAAGCCAGTCATTGACGTCTCACCACTAAGTACTTTAGATGACAACCCCCATTAGAAAGACAACATCTAGATCAAGACCCAGTAAATCTCTCTTTATTATATATTTATATTGTATTCATTCAACATGCATCGCTATTTGGAACAAGCACAGAACACAAAGACAAAAGTGGGAAGGTGCTGACTGAGCGGATATGGATGTGAATAAGTACTACTGGAGGTAAAGAAATCAGTATTTTGAATATGAACAGATCACAGTTAACCACATACTGTACATCATAACTGCACCTAATACCATAAATGCCTCATTTGGAATCAAACTGATATCAATCCAAGACCACCATATAAACATACAAGCATGATGAGCGAGACGACACACAAAGAAGCAAAGTCTAAATGTTTAGTGTCTTCATGATCACACATGCACGCACACACACACACACACACACACACACACTCAGATCCAGCTCCAACACAAAAGCTTTTCAGTTTGTTGTCTTCACTTGGAGGGTAAGAAAGACTTCAGAAAAATCTAGCAGTCACAGGACCATAAAGGAAATAAAATCAGTTACTTAAAGAAAAAGCCTTATGCAGGATAGTGTTCAAATGAAACAACATACACAGAACATAACTAGGGCCTAAAAAACAATAATACATATATATGCACAGTAACATGGACAGACCTAGATGTGAATCTAGGTATTACGGGGGAAAAAACTAAATAGAAAGAAACCAGGTAAATTCACTGAGTGTTCATGAGTGCTTGAGTACTTGTTCATGCATAATTCAGTGTGACTCTGTATTTGTGAAGAGGAGGCTGCGTCTAGCTTAGGAGCTCCAGGTATGTGACAGGCACTTTGCCTTTCTGGTTGCCTCGCTCTCCAATAAGCCAGTCCGGGTCCATGCCGGGCACCGTGTACACCGTAATAAGCTACAGAATAACAGAAAGAAACCGAGAGAAAGAAAAAAATGAAGTAGACATTTTGATGTGGGCTGATTGTGTTGCAATGGGCACAGTCTTCCAAAAGCATTCACTACATTCATATATACTGTAACAATTGACATGTATAAACAGTGGTTAACAGACATGTATTAACAAATACACATCTGCAGGCACCCCTCTGACGTCTTTTGAGGATTGATTTTTATAGGCGTGTATTACAGAGGCAGGTCTGTGAGGCTGAATCATATGACATTGTCTGGCAGACTTGCATATGGGGACAATTGCGATGGTTTATAAACAAGTTTCAAACTTAAAACCTTTAGGTTACCAGCCCATTTCATTAAACAAAAGGCAATGTCACAGAGACTGTAAGTCAACTGTAGATTAAACTGACCATGATAGGCAAGAAACGCAAAAAAACTCAACTACAAAACAAAAGTCATTTATAAAAAAAGAGAGGATTAGAAAATAAAATATATATTATTTGTTTTTATAATAATTACTTATAATAAAAACAATACTCTTTAATAAAATGTATTTAAAATTAAATAGTTACACAGATTCCGTAGTTTACACTACCGGTAAACATTTCCCAAAAAGTAGTTCAGTAGTTAAGCGTAAAGGGGTTTAATATGCTTTTTCACTTTTTCAACTTTAGTTAGTCTGTAATGTTGAGGCGGGCCTTCATTTGATACAGGAACTATTTGAGCCGTTCATGCCAGACTGGGTAGAGAGGTGTTGTAATAATGTAAAATATGTGAAAAATAATGTGTTTTTCGAACAACCTAGTATGAGAGCCTGTTCTAGTACACCCCCAAAACAAAATCAAGACTTTGTAAAAGAGCATAATAGGACCCCTTTAAATAAAATACATTCTCATTACAGTACATACTAAAATCACTAATACTGATATAATGAATGTTACTGACTGTTAAAGAGGAAAAACAGACTTTCTCATGTCCTACCTCATCAGCGAGAAGGGAAAGTTCACTTGTATCTGCAGCATCATAGTCATACAGCACTTTGGCCTTGCGAGTGCCAGTGGCGGGAGGCTTCACCTCCTCAATCTTCAGCGTGCTGGACTCAAGGGCATTGGAGGGGTTTGGGGAACGACTAGGTGGAGAAGTCCCAGGTAGGGTGGCAGTGGAAAGGGGAGAAGGGTCTGCTGACACCCCTGACGTGGAGGCGTTCACAGCAAAAGCGTTAGGAAACCTGGAACAGATTCACAGATTCAAAACCATGGACACAGTGTGTCTGAATAAATATAAATATAATTATAAATATAAATATCTAGCTGTTGCTCACTCATGACACAGATATTACATGAAAAGTGAAAGAAGGAAAATTTCTCAGTCACATGAATGTAATTGCTTAAATTTAGTGGGCAAACTTTCTTCCTTTTTCAGTGTGATGGAAAAAGTTACTCACGTATCTCCGTTCGCACTAAGAACAGGAAAGAAAAAGCAGAAAAAAAAAACATCAGCTCAAAGTTGATCTCAAGAAGTCTTGTGATTTTCTTCACTAGAAAAGCAGTTGCCATAAAGGGGAATGTGTTAGGCAAACCCCTTGTTACTCACACCTCGTTTTGCCACATCTCTCTATATCAAAAATAGACTAAAGTTACTAAACTGTCATGCATCTCCTGTAGAACATGGTCTTATTTGACTGCAGTCGCTCTAGGACAGAAGAACAAATGGCTGTTTATGTTTATTTTGGAGTTTGCAGCACCTCACTGAAGTTCTCACCTGCTCAGCTCTTTCTGAAGATCCTGCATGTGCTTGTGACACTGTGTGTAATAAGCAGCCTGGGCCTCCACAAACTCATGCAGACAGCGCAAGTGGTTCACCTGCAATGGAATTGCAGAATTTGAAAGACTCTTTCCTCATTTCCTTATTCAGAGAGAGGTATACTCTACTGTTCAAAAGATTGGGGTCACAATTGTTTTCAATTAAAAAAAAATAAAATAAATAAGCTGTGAATACATTTCAGGATTCTTTGATGAATAGACAGAACAGCATTTGTTTGAAACAGAAATCTTTTGTAACATTATAAATGTTGTTACTGTCACTTTCATTAAGTATTAATTAAGTATTTCTTCCCAAAAAAATGTTTCAGAAAATCATACAGACCCCCAACTTTTGAACGGTGGCACTGCAACTCATTTTGCTTGTGTAATGTCAAAGAGCGGCAGTGCGAGTGTGAGAAGCGCAGGTACTCACATGTGTGCTGCTGATGCCCTCCAATAGGAGGCGTGTGACCTCTGCCTGTCTGTCAAACTCAGTCTGAGCCACACGCAACTCGTGCTCTGCCTGGTGGAGCCACAAACAAGGAGAAAAAAAAAGGGAAACCACAGGACACATCATCCACACAGCTCAACTATTTGAATAGCAATAGCAAATGAAGACCTCAGTTTTTTCTTGTTTTATAGGTTCTCAGCAACACAATACATTTTTGATTTGACATCATTTCATCTTTATTATGAATCTTTTTGCCACTTTTTGAAAGAGACAGTCGAGAGAGGACAGGAAACCATGCTGAGAGAAAAGGGAAAAGAAATTAACACAGGCCAGACTCCTTAACCTCAAACCACGTCACATGACTCACGTGGCTCAACATGTGCTCTAACTGCTCGCCACTCCCCCATTTAGCACAACTGGTGGTTATTGTAATCCATTTATGAAGGAGATGAAACATGCACATAGTTAAAATTACTCAGTGTTGGGAAGGTTACTTTGGAAATGTAATAGGATACAGTAGTGTATATAATAAGTAGTGTAACTTTTTCAATTACTTTATTAAAGTAATGTAACTGATTACATTTGATAACTTTTCTAAATTTCTAATGGTTTCACTGTTAGTCATTTTCAAACATTTAAACCAGGCAGGGTTAACCTTACAGTAGTGCTCAACACCACAACCCCAATTCCAGAAAAGTTGGGAAGTTTTGTAAAATGCAATAAAATCAAGAATCTGCGATTTGTTCATTCTCTAACTTTTATTTAATTTGGAAAAGACTTCCAAAGTTTTCACTTACCAACATAAACCAATTTTGATGGCTGCAACACACTCCAAAAACGTTGCGACAGAGGCAAATTAAAAGTGAAAAGGTTATAGAGTATCCTAATTAAACTGTTTTGAAACGGTTTACAGTAAGCGGGTGAATTGGTAATTGGTGAGGGTGTCATGTTTGGGTATAAAAAGAGCATCTCAGTCTTGATCATGGCTCATCACTTTCATGTGCCAAATTTCATGAGAGAAGTGTCAAACAAATTTTAAAAAAATCACATTTCTCAATGCAAAATCACAAAGAATTTAGGTATTTCACCAACTAGCATATATAATATTGTGAAAAGATTCAGAGAATCCACAGAAATCTCAGTCTGTGTAGGGCAAGGCATGAAACCTCCAGTGAATGTGTGTGAGCCGTCATGCTTCGGTGTTAAATATAGCCACAGTACTTCTGTAAAATCGCTGTCACTTAACACAGTCTGCTGCTTTATCAATAAATGCAACTTCAATCTCTGTTCCTCTAGGAGGAAAATATACACCAATTCTATGCAGTGATGCTGCAGCGTTCTCTGGGCCAGAGCTCATCTCAGATAATCAAAAAGGCAGTGGAAATGTGTGCTGTGGTCAGATGAGTCCACATTTCAACTGGTTTCTGAGAAAAATGGACATCGAGATCTTAGTCCAAAAGACCAAAGGGACCATCCAGACTTTTACCAGCGAAAGATGCAAAAGCAAACATCTGTCATAGTATGGGGGTGCAGCAGAGCAAACGGTATGAGTAACTGGAATATGTGCGAAGGTACCATTGACGTGGAGGCATATATTGAAATTGTACAGAGACATATACTGCCATCAAAATCACATATTTCATGGGAAGTCCATGATTATTAGATCAAAACAATGGCAGGTCTCATTCTGCATATGTCACAACAGCATGGTTTCGTAGACACAGAGTGAATGTGCTAGACTGGCCTGCCTGCAGCACAGATCTGTCTCCTATTGAAAATGTCCGACCAGTCATGCAAAGGAGAATCAGACAGTGACGGTTACAGACTGCTGAGCATCTGAAGTCTTGTATCAAGCGAGATTGGACGAAAAGTTTGCTTGCAAAACTTTAACAATTAGTATCATCAATTCCTAAACAATTAAACTGTGTAATTAAAAGGAAAGTTGATGTGACACAGTGGTAAACCCGCCTCTGTCCCAACTTTTTTTTAAGTGTGTTGCAGCCATCAAAATTTGTTTATATTTACAAAATAACATTAAGTTGGCCAGTGAAAACACTGGAAATTTTTTCTTTGTATTTTAGTCAAACTAAATAAAGGTTAAAGAGAATGAACAAATAACATTCTTGATTTTATGGCATTTCACAAAACGTCCCAACTTTTCTGGAATTGGGGTTGTAATTACTGTCAGACTTTCAAAATCCTTCATCACTTGAATTAAGATTATATTAAAGGGGTCATATGATGCGATTTCAAGTTTTCCTTTCTCTTTGGAGTGTTACAAGCTGTTCGTGAATAGATAAGATCCCTGAAGTTGCAAAGACTAAAGTCTCAAAACCAAAGAGATATTCTTTATCAAAGTTAAGACTCTGCCACACACCCCTAAAACGGCTCGTTCTAACACGCCCCCACATATCTACCTCGCTATGTGGGAATATTTGCATAATGCGCCCAAATGTGCACACAAAGAAAGAAGGCGTGGTTTCAGTAACCGCAGTTAGTGTTGATGCAGCCATGTCAGGGAGACGCTGTGTGTTTCTAGGCGAAAGCAAAGCACTTTATTTGGCCTTCCGAAAGTAGATGCATTTAGGAATCTTTAAGAT